TGCTCATTGAAACTGCCTGGAAAATCTCATTGTGTTATCTGATGGAAAAACTTTGTGCTTGAGGGAAAATAATTTCACCAGCTCTGTGGCAGGTGGGTTCTCACGTGGAGCCACCACTTCCAAAGGCAGTAATTGTTCTTTTAAATTACAACAGGAAAATAAAAAAAACACTCCACACCTTTAAACAACAATGAAAGTTCTGCTTCTGTTTAACAAGAAAAGCAGTTTAATTTTTAAAGATCACTCTATATTATTAACTTGCTTAATTATCAGAAGGGATGGTTGGATGAGCAGACAATTAAAACAAGGAGAAGCTCAGAAGGAAAAGTTCATCAGTGTATTAGAGAGACAATGGGGGAAAGTAAAACTATTTCAAGTACCATTTGAAGGAAACCATTTGGGAAGAAAACAGGATTAATTAAGTTTTGAACCAGTTGATTTTGTTATCTAAAAATATTTCCAGATTAACACTGTTACATTTATGCATGAGGTAATGTCTGAGGCTCTTCAGCACCAAGGGAAATGTGGGTGCAGATAAAGCAGCAGGGAAGTCAGAGCCAGCAGAGCCTGTGCTGTGTTCTGGGGCTGAGACAGCACAGCTGGGCCTGCTGTGCTCCCCTGTCCTGTCCTGGGCACCTGGGCAGGTGTGCTCAGCCCTCTGGACTCACCTGAGCCATTGCTGCTTTCCATGCAGAACGTGCCCCACTCCCAATCCTGTTTCTCTTTGTCTTCCCTCTCTTGGCCTTGTCCCTTTTGTCACCAGGGAAGTGAAACTCTGACCCCATGGATGGCCCTGGTGGCCCTGTCCCCTGTCCCCTGTGAGCACAGCAGGGCTGGGGAACCCCTGGGACACGTCCTGCCCCTCAGCTGGTGAATTTAGGTGACTCACACCAAACATACCTGGGGAAAAAAATCAGGCCCACGAGTGCCTGAGAGTAATTTTCCATACGTGGTATTTAAGACTCTTAAATTTCAAGTCATTAATAATGATCTTTGAAGGGAACCCTATAAGTTGTCTTCTAATTTCTGATGAGATGGAATCATTTATTACATCAATTTTTCTGATTAATGTAAAATGTGTTTCAGATTTGGGTTTTCCTTTAATATTTAAACTTCCCCTTGAAAGGAGCTGCAGAATGTGACTGAGTGCCCCCAGACTGGTGTGGTGTGTCCTCAAAGCAGGGCTGGTCAGCAATAAAAGCACGGGACAGCAGCAAGCCCAGCTCCTTCCAGGAGCTGCTATCCAAGAGGCATGAACGGCTCACTCATGCCAGGGGAGGGAGTGTCTTCGAAATTTACTTTTTGTTGTCAAGAACATGGCCCCAAAAATTGCTGAAAAAAGGCCAAAGCTGGAGTTACTCAGGATAAATTGCATGGCAGATCTTTTCCCTGAGAAATGAATTTATTTTAAACAGGCTTTCTATTTTATTTACATGTCATTTTTGCAGAGCCAAAGCCAGACAAAACCACGGGGGATTTTTGTCTTGGTCTTGCATCAAGGAGGGAGCTGAGCTGCAGCTTTCAGAGCAGCCATTCCCTGAGCTGGTAAAATGCATCACACTCTGTCCCCACCCACCACACTGCAAAACTGGAACACCCATCCCTGCTGCCCTTGGGCTGGCCCTCAAGGTGTCCCTCTGGTTCGGGAGGGCAGGGACAGGACAAGTTTAATCCAGAGGGGTCCCTGTCCCAGGGAAAGCTGAGCCATGGTTGGCACTGCTGGTGCAGCAGAGCCCCTGTGACACCTGAGATAAAAACCAGAGCCCAGACAGGAGGGAGTTGGTTTAACAGAGAATTCTTTATTAGAACATTGGAGCTGTTACGTACAGATTCTGTCCTGCAAAAGTGTCCTGCTCAAGGACATGTCGGGGGACACTGACAGCCATGGAGCTGGCCCTGCTCTCCACAGAGACTCAAACACAGCAGAGCTCTGCCAGGCCTGGGTACCACAGCATCCCTGAGCTTGTTCCAGCGCCTGCATCCCAGGGGAGAGGGGCTGGGCACCGCGGGAGGGGCACTGCCCTTCCCTGGGCTCACCTGGGGACACTCCCCAGGCAGGGAATTGGCTGAGCAAGAGCGACAGAGACACAACCATGCCATGAGGTAAAGGAACAAAAACCAGGAAAAGAACAAACAAAGAGTTCTGTCATTCACAGAACAGCTCTTCCCCCTCTGGCTCCCAGACCGGGCCAAGCAGCAGGGCCTGAGCCCCTGCCAGGAGCCCTGGGCAGCTCTCAGGTGATGCCCAGGGCAGCTCCAGGGCTGTCCTGCTGCTTGGGGCTGGCACCGGGGCTGGCACCGGGGCTGGCACCGGGGCTGGCACTGTCTGCACGGCCCCCGGGGCTCTGCAGGTGCAGCCCAGGTGTGCCAGAGCAGGTGAAATGCCCGCCCTGGGCAATGCCAAGGGCCCGGAGCTGCCCTGCAGGGGCTCACAGGAGCTCTGGGCTGGGGTCACAGCAGCCCCTGGGCTTTTCCAGGTGTGCATTTTCCTGCACCCATGGCACAGCACGGCAGCTCCACCAGGGCCTCCAGGTTTGACAGACAAGCGTCCTAACAGACATTTCCCCACAGCCAGCAGCTTTCCTCATGGAAGGCATTATCCAGAAGGAAAGCTGTGTAACTTTGTGATTTATGGGTGCTGAAATCAATATCCTGGAGTCTGATTCCTCAGTCTGGTCCTCTGATGGAGCCACGTTCTTAACTCTGCTGGCTGGGGCAGAATATTGCCTTCACTCACTGTCTCTAAAGTCACATTTAAACTTTCTTTATTAAATCCTAATTATGGCTCCAGAGACTACATGTAAAACCCTGGGCATGATTCCCACAGAGTACATAACCTTTTCTCTGCTATCAGCACTCCAGCAGGATTATCTCCCTTCCAGTCCTCAGTAATCTGAAGGAAAGAATCTCTTTGGAGCAGGTTTGTCAGAAATGTAATTGTCAGGAACATTTATCACCACAACTCTGTTCCCATCTCCACCCAGAGCAGCCTTCGTGGATCAGAGTTTGGAACAAGAGATCTGGCAGGGAATGCTCAGAGCTCACAGCTCAACCAACATCAGCACAAAGGATGGGTCAGACTCGGAGCTCAGAAGGGATTTGGGAGCCAGGAATTCCCTTCTGCTGCGGGGCTGGAGGTGCTGGGGGTGGAGAATAAAAACCAGGAGCAGGAGCCATGGAGCAAAGCAGAGAGCTGCAGTTATCTCCAGGGCAGGGAACACAGCACTGAACCAGCTTTGCTACAAATACACCCATTTTAAACTCAGGCTTTTTGTTCCCAAGGCACTCGGACTCCTTTTCTGGAACAGGCACCCCAATGGATGTTTGGGGATGGGAGGGGGAAGGAAAACGTTCCCCAAGGACATGGAGCTGAAGGGAGGAGATGGCCCAGCCCCAGGGAGCTCTCAGAGCCTCTGGAGCCATCAGAGCACACCTTGTCAAGATTTTTCAGGGTTTCTGTGGCCCTGGCTGTGCTCTCGCTCCCCTCACCCCATGGGAAGGGCCAGCCAGGAAAGAACAAACCTGCAGGTGTGAAACCATCTCCTGCCTCCCCTCTCAGCCCTGACAGTGCCCAAAAGCAAAGCAGGTTTGAGTTTCTGGATGTAGGTGTTACAGGGAATGACCATCACACAGAAAGATTTTGAACATTAATTACAGCATCTTTTGTAACTTTATAATTTAATTGCCAACCCTTTTCCCTTCAAATTAACCATGATGTACAGCATATAATCAAACAAGCTTTTTTTAAAAAGTACATCTTAATATAAATAGTTTATTCAGTGCATGGTTGTGTATACAACAAATAATAAACAACTTTTTCTTTGTAGCAGGCAGAAAGCTGCCTGTACAGAACTAATTCAGTTTTGGAGCACAGAATCCAACGATGATTAATGCACAAAATCTTACACATCATGCAACTCTATGCCAATATTCCAACTTTCTCCCATGCAACAGACATGATGACCTAAATGGAAACCTAACTACATTTTTAAACAATTGTTTCCAATAGCAGGAATAAGTATAAGTTGTTTAGGGGTAACCTGTCCTAACGCTTCCTCCTACACAATATTCACGTGCCCATTACAGTGAAAGGACTTTTACAAATAAGACGTTTCTTATAAAAAATTAAGTCACCTTAATTCCACAGTTTCTGTCTTTAGAAAAGAAGCCACAACGATAGTTTAACATGACACACAAAATGGAATTAAGAGAAATCTACACTGGAGGATAATTTCATCCCTTTCTGTTAACTTCCACCTGGGATAACAAAACAGCTCAATTCCTACAGACTGGGGTTAGCACAAGAACTTTACCAGAAACTACAAATCTATAAAAATTTATATTTCATTGTGTTTAAAACCACAAGAACACGGTTTGCTTGAGCCTGAGACACCAACTCTCAGTTCCAACCCTGAATTTTGAATTATTTTTTTAAAGACATAGCTTTAAAGACCCATTGGAGTTCAGAAATCAAAAAATTGCACTATTCCAAATTAAAGGATACATTTTTTAAATCAAGCCTTAGATATAAAACTGTAAGCCAAGGAAACAACAGAGTTTACATACTTGGTTTTTGTTTGCCCCTATAAAACATACAAGCATTAAAATTTCCTTTGAAGAGCAAAAGTGGTCTTTTTCTGAGTTGGAAAGCAAATTCTTATCAGCAGTGAATGCTGTGAAATGTTTTTGTTTTGTTTTCCACAAAGCATAGGAGAGAGAGAGACAGAGAGAAAGAAGAAGTGAGAGAGAGAAAGAGCTGGACATTTCTTCTGGCAGCTGGTTTGGCTGTTTCCAGCTGCCTTGTGGGATGACAAACACATTCTGCAGGCCTGGGGTTATCCTGGATTTATCTTGGGTTATCCTGGGTTATCCTGGATTTATCCTGGATTTATCTTGGGTTATCCTGGGGTTATCCTGGTTTATCCTGGATTTATCTTGGGTTATCCTGGGTTTTTCCTGGTTATTCCTGGTTTCTCCTGGGTTATTCTGGGTTTCTCCTGGGTTATTCTGGGTTTCTCCTGGGTTATCCTGGATTTCTCTTGGGTTTCTCCTGGGTTATCCTTGGGCACAGCAGATGTGATGGTGACAAAGGGGGCTGTGGAGCTGTGCCGTGTCCTGGGCGATCAAGGCTTGGATGAAAGAGTGGAGTGAGAACTGAACTGCATCCAGAGGTAAGGGTCTGTTCAGAGAGCACTTGGCTGGCCTGGACCTCACCTGGCTACGTGGACTCGTTCTGGCTCATGGATTTGCCCCCATTTAGCACTCCTGAAACGCTTCTGCTCTTTGTTGGGGTCCCACTTCCAGACCTGGAGAACTCTGTGAGGTCGTGGAGGGAAGGCTCTTTGTACATGGCCACTGCAAGGAGAGAGAGCAGAAATCAGCTGGGCTGGGCTGGGCTGGGCTGGGCTGGGCTGGGATGGGCTGGGATGGGCTGGACTGGGCTGGGCTGGGCTGGGGTAAAGCCCAGCTGGACCCTCTGGGATGGCTCAGTCAGCCACAGGCAATGGAAGGAGACTCAAAAAGCCAGGACAAGGAGACCCCTCCCATTTCAAACACTCCCTGTGCACTCCTCAGTGCACTGACATTTGACATTTGACATTTTATATTTAACATTTGACATTTTTGACACTCCTCCCTCCCCAGTGAAAGCAGCCACTGCCCAGTGCACTCACACAGCCCTGCAGGACAGAGCCAGCCTGACCAAAATCTGCATTTCCAGAGAAGCTCTGGCAGCAGCTGTGACTGAACCTGTGTGAACTGTGCCCACAGGACAGGACACTGCTGTCACACAAACAGCTGCACACCTCACACACGTGCACAGGAACTGATCACAACACTGAACCAGTCCAGACAATGCAGGCAATTACCTTTTAAGGGTTTTGGAAGAAAGTGTGCTGCAGGTTTATTTTTCTTCACGTGGTTTCCTTTCATTATTTCTCCTTCTTTGTTAAGACCCAGATACCAACCCCGGCCAGACTGCTGCTGTCTGTAGATCATTGAGGAATATGTCACATAGTAGTTTTCAAATACTGATTCTTTGAACTTGCATTCAGGTGTAAAATGTTCCTGTAAGAAAGCAACAGATCAATATGTGCAGGGCTGAATCCCACATCGGTTAATGCAAAAACATCCAGTATCATTGCTTTGTGAAAGTTAGATTATAGCTCTGATCCTCAGCTCTCCAGTTACAAAACACAGCCCCTAAAAGTATTAACAGCAGAGTAACACAATTTGAAACCTGTGAAATGATGCTGTGAGCAGCTCTTAGCAGAACGTCATGAGATCTTTTTGAACAAGCAGCAAGAAGTCTGAGTGCAGATGTATTGATTGCTGTTGTGACAGCAGGCACAGCCCAGGGCTGGCCCAGGGACTCACAGCAGAGCCCAGGGCTGACAGCAGCACTCAGCTGCTTCCCCCAGCTGTCCTGGGGAAGGGACAGCTCCCAACAGGTCACCTATGGACGGCCACAGCCCATCCAAAATGCAAGAGGAAGGGTTTGGTGTGGCCATGCAGATGTTGACACCTCCATCCTGCCTGCCACTGCAGCCCACAGCAGCCAGATGTGAAGGCAGCCAGCTGCAGGGGAGCTGCCCTTGTGCTCACAGCACCCTACAGAGGCAGAGAGAAAGGAATAAAAGCTGTGCTTGTATAATGATTGTAATTTCGATTTTAAAATATCACAGGAAATTAAATGTCTCAGGAGCTTGAGATATTCTTATCTAGTTTCTAAAATATTCTCATGTGAGAAAAGGGTGGCATTAGGAAAAAAAAGAAACCCACCACTCTGCATTTTCTGCACATCTTTTGCCATTTTGTCTTTATAAAAGAAAGAAAAAAAGCTCCCATTCTCTGACTGGCATTTGCTTCAACAAAGCATGTGAAGCAAGCAATTTTCTTCTTTTTTTTTTTCTTTAAGCTAATTGGTTGTTATTTAGTTAATTGACAATTGGTTTCAATTGCTGTCAAATGGGGACAGTCACTGCATTTTTGTAAGATTTCTGCATAAAAGCCTTCCCTCACTGTTCCCTGCCCAGCACCAGCCATGGTAACAAAGACTATTGCAAGGGTATCATCCAATTAGCAGCAAAATGGAAAACTACAGTGCTCCCACTGGCAGATGATGGTTTATGTACAGTAATTTGGAGCTGTTTTGGGTACAAAAGGGCCGCTTGTACACAGCAGCACAGGGTCAGGCTGCAAACAGAACCAGAACATTTCCCCTGGAGCTCAGAGCGAGCAGCAGCCCCGAGGGACAGAGGGACAGAAGGAAAGACACGGAGCCCCTCCCTCACCCCGGCTCTTCCTTGGCTCTCCTGAAGTGCTGTGCTCCTGGGAGTGTGCACCCAGCCAGCCAGCACCCCACAGCACCCCGGGGAAATCAATCCATCCTGGAAAATCCATCCTGGAGCACCCCAGGGAAATCAATCCATCCTGGAAAATCCTGCCCTGGACTGCCCAGCATCCCAGGGAAATCCTCCTGGATCACCTGGGATCCTCCTGACAAACAAAGGCACCTCTCCATAACACACTCAGTTCTCAGGACAAATGCCCTCCGTGTTTTTGGGCACTAAAGCAGAGCCCCTGGTTCCCTGGGCTGGCAGAGATTTGTGCCCCTTTCTGCACCTGCCAGCTCCAGGCTGGCCTGGCCTCCTCCTCCCTGCACCGAGGGTGCAGAGGCTCTGCCTGCTCCTGAATCCCAGCAGCTGCTCACCTGCAGGAGGGCTTTGTTCCCACCCTCCCTCCCTCCCTTCCTTTAACCCAGAGTGTTTTCCCTTCCTTCAGACTGACCCAATGCTTTCCCTGCTCGGTGCAGAGGGGAGCTCTGAGTAAGGAACGGGGCATGGGGGCATTCCCATGAAAATGGAATTTTCTGGGCTTGGCAAGTCCAAGTGAGTTCAGCCAGGGCTTCCCTGAGCACATCAGTGCAGAGCAGGAACTGCAGGCTGGCCATTGTGTCACCCTGCTGGCAAATTCTGCATTACTGCACTGAGGAAGAGTGTGCTGGAGGCAGGAGGGGGCTGGGAGCCCCATTAACACCGCTGGTTCCAGCCCACACAGCCAAGCCCATGGAGAAGTTACAAACACAAGTGTGGAATCCTAAGGCCAGGTTTTCCTGTCTCTGTCCTTTCAGCCCATCCCTGCAATGCAAACAATGCAAATGAGTTTCTGGGAAGCCCAGTGCTATGGATATTGCTACACAAAACAGATGAAAACAGTTATTTCTGTGAAACAGAAATTTCCAGCATTGCCATCTCTGTGTGCCTCAGAAGTCACTGCTGATGGCACCCAAATGACAACAAACTGCACCCAAATGACAACAAACTGCACCCAAATGACAACAAACTGCAGCCACTCCAGCCCCTCACACATCCACCCTTAGCACTGAATGAATGAAATGAATAAATGAATAAATACACGTGAAAAAGCAGGGCTGGATTCCCTGCAGTCGTGACTCAGCCACGATGTGAGCAGGAAGATGAAGTGTCAGGGCTGAGCTGAAACCTGAACTATTGAAAGGTTCCTTCAGGAACAAATCTGGAGCTGCACTGAATACGTGAGAAATCATTAAAAATGAATAATTTGGCATATGACAATATGGCAAAAGGACCTCGTGGCACACACTTAGAGCAGCTGTATTTGCAGGAGGCTGACTGGATTATATCTAAAATAATTCAGGCTGCATTACACAATGCCAAGCTAAAATATCATCAAAGCCAGTCTGGAATTGTTCCAGCTGTGTTTGTGCAGGACACACATCTGCAGCCCCAACCCCTGCAGCACCACACCCACCCCCCGCGGGAATAATGTTCATTATTCTGTGCTCCCAGTGCCTCTGGTGCTGAATTCCCACTCCCCAGGCCCCGAGCAGGGGATGCTGCTGGCAGGAAGGAGTTCATGTTCAGCAGCCTCTCCTGCACAGGAGGAGCAGGGACAAGTTTCATCTCTGCCTTTTATTGCAGTCTCAGTCTGCACTGTGGATTCCATCACCAAATTCCTCCAGTCAGGAATCAAGACTGGGTTTGTTCAATGCTTCTCTCACCACAGGCTGAAAATCCTGCAGCTCCCCAAAGGAGTTTGTGAGAAAAATCCCAGATTTTGTTCAGATGGACTTGGAGCTAGAGGCATGAGTAAACAGCAAGAAAAGAAAAATTAACTTTGAAAAGTATTCAAGAGAAGCATTGTGTACTTGGGAAACTTGGAAAATGTTCTTATATATTGAGCATGTAATTCTATTCCTTGTGATCAATGACTATGTCTGCATTTGGGATTTATCCTTTATTTTCTCCACTTAATGAAAATTGGATTTTTTTTCCCTCCATACCCCAATTTCTTTCAGAACTATAATGTAGCTCAGGATTCCATTTTATAATCATGAATTTTTGAAGGAGCCTCGTTAAGGCTCCAGAGCAGTGATTTTCTGCACCACTGGGCCTGCCTTTTTTTATTAACAGAGATTGATTTTCTCCACCCTGGCATGTGAAGTTCCAGGTGCATCCTCTGGACCATCACCCTGAAAAGTGCAGTGGTACCCAGAGCACAGGATGGAAATAATTCAGCTTTAATGTGGTCAGGAAGAACAGCTCTGACATCAGGCTGAGAAATCTGAAGGATTTCCTGAGCCTTTGCTGCAGCCATGGAAAATGACAATTACCCTAAAACATTTGGGATCAGATCCAGCACATTGCCCCAGACAGGCCCCAACCCCACAGTGCTGCCCATTTTCATGGAGCTCACCCATTTTAATTGGGCTCACCCATTTTAATTAAACTCACCCATTTTAATTAAGCTCACCCATTCCAATGGAGCTCACCAATTCTGGGGAATGCTGTGGTGTCAGAGCAGCTCCCATCTGTGTGCACAGGTCCTGTGGGTGTTTACCCTGAACTGTGGCTGTACCCAGCACTGCCAGTGCCAGTAAAGAGCTCCAGAAACTGGGGGGCTTTGAGGGCAGGTGGGGTCAGCCCAGGGAGGAGCAGAATCTGGGCTGGGGTGAGCTCCAGGTGAGTTCTCACAGCAATTCTGGGCTGGGGTGAGCTCCAGGTGAGTTCTCACACCAATTCTGGGCTGGGGTGA